CGAAACTTCCGCGTTAACCGGGTCAGTTCTGTTCTGGTTCACTGAGGTCTCAACTCGGGGCTGGGTCACTTCGAACCGGCATTACTTGACAGAGGACGGTCCAGTTAGGGACTGTGTGATGGCTGCTTGCCGCTGGAGGGTTAGGAGTGACGGGACTGTGCCAGGTGTTTTGTATGTCACCTCATTGGGTCGTCACCCAGGCTCTGGGAAAAGTGGCTTCACTTGCCATTTTACAGAGGAGGAAGTGGAAGCTTCGAGAAGTTGAGTGACTTGCCCAGGGCGAGTTGACAGTTCCCAGCACCCGGAGCCGGCTCTGGCTGGGCCAGACCTGTGGACGAGGCCTGACCCTGTGTCGTGGGGAGCTGGGTTGGGCCTCGGGTCATCATTTCCTCTCCCCACTCCTCCCTGTAGGTGTTCAGGTACAGCACTGCCCTGGAGAAACACAAGCTGTTCGTCTCGGGCCTGCCATTCTCTTGCACGAAAGAGGAACTAGAAGAGATCTGCAAGGCCCACGGCACTGTGAAGGACATCCGGCTGGTCACCAACCGGGCCGGCAAACCCAAGGTCAGCGTCTGAGCAGACGGCAGTCGCCTCCTGGAGTCTGGGCGAGCCTTTGTTCAGAGGTTACTTGGTTCTAGAGTGGGTTCTGATCTGTCTACTAGGAAGCAGACGAGAAGTTAACAGAAGGCTAGGTGCGCTAGGCTCTTTTTCCGTTTGGAGTCAGGTGAACCTGATGTGGCTCATTGTACTTAAAAGAACAGGGTGTTTGAAGAAAAACTACCACAAATTAGCAGGGGCTCCAGTGCAGCTCCGCGGCTGTGGGGCCTTGGGGTGAGGTGCCCCCCCTTGCAGTCTCCTCCCTCCTGCCCGGACCCCACTTTTCACTAGGCCTCTGGCCATCTCCCCAGGTCCCTGCACTGGCTTCCCCCTTACCACGTCCTCCCCTTCTCCGGTCCCCTCAATCTCTTGTGAAATCCTTGACGACGTTTTGAGTAGTTGTTTAAGAAGAGTTTGGTTGACCTCTCAACCCCCGTCCCGTTTATCCAGCTTAATCGAGAGTTGAAGAATATGAATAAGGGCGTCCCCAGGCACAGGGACATCGGGGCTCACCTGTGTCCAGGACACCTCATCCATTGCTAGATTTATGCTGGTCCCTCTCTCTCTTTCTTTTTTTGGCTGGAGCAAGCACAAGATGCACTGAACTTAAAAAGTTATCTGAAGTTAGTCAGTTGCAGAAATAGGGAGGGAGACTAGGGCTGTGAGACCTATAGACAAAGGATGGCGGTGGTGGGGAGGGAACCCAAGGGTCGGGGGCCCACCCTGAACCGGCCGGTGGACCTCAGGGAGGAGGTTGTGCCCTGCAGCACTCACCTGGCCGGGCTTTTGCAAACTTTCAGGGCCTGGCCTACGTGGAGTACGAAAACGAATCCCAGGCGTCTCAGGCCGTCCTGAAGATGGATGGCATGACTATCAAAGAGAACGTCATCAAAGTGGCTATCAGCAACCCGCCTCAGAGGAAGGCTCCGGAGAAGCCAGAGGCAAGGAAAGCCCCGGGGGGCGCCATGGTGCCGCGGCAGATCTACGGAGCGTAAGTGTTTTGTGCTCTGTGTGCTCGTTGGTGCAGACTTCGTCCTGCCCTGCACCACGGTGACCAAGTTTCCCCTTAGCACAGTGAGTTCAGATGGGAGGTCAGGGCCTGGCGTCCCTGGGGCGCTCACGCTCGTTCCCAGGGCAGGGTGTCTGCAGCAAGTCCACGCTGAGGGCCATTCTGGAAGTGGGACCCTCTCTCGTGTTCGCCGGTTTACACTGGTGATTGATTTATTTAGACAGTGATTACGTTAAAGTCCCCTTTGGCAGGTGAATCCATGTGTAGGTTCCATACCTGACAGCCATGTGCTTGCCGTGCTAATCTGTATCTCCACCTGTAATCCAGATAGAAGCTCTGTTCTCACCCGACAGGGATGAGGCAGCAGGGTGCGAGGTTATTTGGTGAGGTCTGCAAGTTTACAGCCATTTTTATCCACCCTATGTGTGACGGTATTACACAGACGTGGCCCTGGCCAAAATTGTGGAAAAGGCAAAGTTGGTTAAAGTGATTTTTACCTGATAGCCGAAGTCAGGGAGAACAGGGCTCGTCTTATTACCCTTCTTGTTTTTTGTTTTTCACCTTTTACCTTGCGGTGATCTAAGACCGTCCTGGCTCATTTTCATCAATTGTCGCCTCAGAAGGTCCGTGCATTGTTTGCTCTTCCAGGCGGGGGAAGGGGAGGACCCAGCTCTCTCTGCTGCCCCGCGCCCTGCAACGCCCAAGCGCCACCGCAGCCCAGGCTGAAAACGGCCCTGCCCCACCGCCGGCGGCCACCGAGGTACCCAAGATGTCCAATGCCGACTTTGCCAAGTTGCTTCTGAGAAAGTGAGTGGGACTGTGCGAGAAGGGAAATGCCTTACTTGATGCTGGCCGGGAAGACGCCCGGTGCCCAGCTGTGCCCTGGCTGTGCAGGACCCAGTGCAGCGCCTGTGACCACATGCTTGCTCTGGTTTAGGTAGGACGGGAAAAGGGTGTCAAAGGAAAAAAGAGGCTTTAAGTGCTCCCTCATATTGAGGGCGAGAGGATGAAAATGGTCACTCCACAGGCTGGGCGCAGGGTGCAGTTTCCTAAGATGTGTCTTAAAGAGTGAGAAACAGATGTGAAACGCGAACACACCGTTTTGAGACCCCCCCCTTGTCCAAATATTTTTGGCCACCTCTGGTCCCCTTTTTATAAGACACTTCTCTTACACCCTGCACAGTACATGTGCCCGTCACTCTTTTAATTTTTAAAAGACAGAAAGGCAGATGTTGGTAATTCACCAGAATGGCCTATTTTAGTAAAGGGGTGGGGGCAAGGGGCATCACATAAAACATCTGATGGGCTTTTGTTCACGGGGGCGGTGCGTTTTTATATTACGTATTTGTAAATGACACGTCAACCCACTGTTTTGTTTCCTAAAAGCAAAATACTTGTGACATTTGTATAGGAATTCTGTGCGCCATCTGCTATGGACGTTTTTCTTTGCCTAGTGACTAGTGAACTGTGTCTTTGTCTAAATACTGAGTTTCAGCCCTATGGTTTTGTTTAAATAGCATTGTCAAGTGCAAACTTAAATTCTCCCCATTTAGCTTTGTTTATTAAACTGAAGTTCTCTTAAAAACTTCTTGTCGAAAGGTACTCAGATGTGCATTCAAATATGTATTTTGAAATGGGTGTACCTTGGTTTACCTAATGGGTGTGTAAATAGAACTTTTGTAAGTCAAATCCGCTTGGCACTTTGATTTAAACCATTTCTGCTGTGATATCTTCGGTTTTAAACTTCAGTTTACAGCAGTTTGGCACTTAACAGCTTTCAAGCTTTTTTACCCACATCTTTTATCCAGTATTTATTGCTTTGAAAGTGACACTGGCAGTTCAGTAGGGAAACTGACTTTATAAAAGGCATTCTGGGGAAAAAAATCGGAATTCTTTCCTATGTCATGAAAATCAGCTCATTTATCTGTTTCTAAAGGTTTTATGCATCATTCAGGCTTTCCTATATTTTTTAACTTAACAATTGAAACAGATAAGTAGTAAACTAAGCCCCGTGTGCCTGTCATGGAGCTTCAGCATTGCTCAGCTCATAGCCCGTCTTCATCTCCACTTCCTGCCCCTCTTGTATCCTGTGTTCTGGAGGGATAGTCACCTAATAATACTGTAGCACGTATCTCTAAGGACTTAAAGGCCTTGGTTTTTATCATTTCTAGAAACATTAGCAGTAATACCTTAATGTTATCAACCATCCAGGCAGATCTCCAATTCCATGTTGTTTTGTAAATAAGTTTTTTAATTGATAGGTTCTCTGTACCTCATCTTTATCTTCTGCACAGAACGTTAGGTGTTTTTGAATTCAAGCAGCGGCTGTGGAGCAGTCAGAAGAACCTGTGTTCTCTGGGGTGGCCGGCCATCCACTTCCCTGCAGAGAGGCCCGTTCTGTGGGTGAGAGGATGTGGGTCAGTTGGGGACCAAGGGGCCATGGACCTTTCCTTAGTAATCCAGGTCACGTGGTGGACATCTGACCTCACCGTCTCAGATGTCCACAGGGGCTTGTTACAGAGGTGGACCTTTCAGACTCGAGCAGGACCCGATTCAGGTGCAGGGTGTTGACTGTTCTAGAAATAGATTTTCAGAAATGTAGGAGTGGGTTTATGTAGTCCTGGGGGGGAAAAACTGATGGTAAATAGATACATGAAAAACCATTTCAGCTACTCGTGTCTTAGTGCAAGATCAGCGATACATCCCTGTCAACGTAACCAACCAGTTCTGTCTCGGTGTCTTGTTGAAATAATTACCATCTTGGATCTATTTTTCTCCCAGAACAATATAAAGAATACCGCTAAAGTTCTGAAAGAATCCCTCCTTCCCCCTTAGGATAGATGGGTGGGAACATCTCTTGAATAAGGTAGCAAAGTCTCAGGCATTTATGTAACAAAATACTTTATTAGTAATTTGTTAAAATAATACCCTTCACATAGCTAAAGTGCAAATTTCTCCCTCTGGTACAAAGCAAGCACTTCTGTCAGGCTTCCTTGGTGTGCTTATAAAGAGCAAGACGATTAGAAGAGTTAAGGTTTAAGAAATACCTTATGGCAGCATACAAATACAAAAATATTTTTTATCAAGGTTTGAATAACTATCACTTGGGGCCATTTCATACATCTTTTCACTTAATCTTTCAGAAAATTACTCCGTGCTCCTTCAGACTAAGCAGCAGCAGCCAACATGTAACAGTTTATCTTCTAACAAGTTGCTAGGAACCTAAGGCCACCCCAAGGCAATCTGCTCTGCTTCCCTGAGGGGACAGTGGCTGTGGGGCAGGTGAGTGGATTAAAGGGACGCATCCTGGCTGTGGTCAAAAGTGTTTCTCAGCTCCTGTGAACTGGCGCTCTGACTCCTCACAAATGCTTGTTGGGTACTGACGAGGCGTCTGTCTTCAGATTTGCAGCAGGATTTAATTGTTAGGTGACAAACCCAGAAGAACCTTTAGACTGAAACATCTGGTCTGAATTGCTGCAGATGTGAGAAACATCAATACAAAGCACCCAGGCTAGCCACGCCCCTGTTCTTAATTAGAGAAACGGCCGACGTGGCAAAATAACAGCCTCTGGTACCGGAGTTTGCAAACTATGGCTCAAAGAACCTTCCTCGAAATAAGCAAGGTATCTAACTAGATATACTGTAAACGTTCATTTCATATCTCAGAAATTTGCTCTACCGGTAAGGATTAGTTACAACACTAACCTCTTGGTAGGGGAGCCAACGCCTGTACGAAAGGAAGCTTTCAGTCACTTCTCACAACTGCGACCGGGTTCTCCTCTCTCTCAGGTAGTCACAGACCCTCGCGGCCGGTTCCAGAAAGGGCTGCAAGGGGTTACTCCTCCGGACCCCACCTCAGTGCAGATTCTGCTCCAGAACCTGTGTTCTGGTCACACAAGGAGCACTGATGCCCCCAAAGCCTGCTGGGGCCACCCCAAGGATCGGGGCCACCAGCACAGACAGCACACATTTAACCAGCTCTGAGGGAAATAAATAACTGGGCTCAATTATAAGTTATCTTAGGGACAAGGCTTAATAACTTAGTTTTCTTCTTTAAAGAAGCATTTGGAGGTAAAGAATGTTTAGGTTTCTTACCCATCTTCTTTTACTCTGGGAGATGACTAGGTTTCTAGAATTGCTGAGTTTCTTGGATTTATTCCCCCCCGGGACATCCTTTGCCACCAAGGGAGGATTTAGAGCATTAGGGCTTCACAGGCAGCGTCTCCTTGAACCTAGAGTGGTTGGGTCTGGCCTCTGGCAGTGCCACAGGGTACTCTGTGGTGGCAAAGAGCAGGGTGTCCAGGGTTGTCTCTGTGCACTTGGCAATGAAGCGGATGAACGGCCTCACGTCGCCCTCGTTGGCCACCTCCAGCACGTGGTAGTACTCGGACCTCTGCTCTTTGCGGATGGTGATGGGCGGGTAGCCCGCCTGCATGAGGATGAGGTTCATGAGCAGGCGCGAGGTCCTGCCGTTGCCGTCGATGAAGGGGTGGATGTAGACGAGTTTATAGTGGGCCAGGGCCGCAAACTCCACCGGGTGCAGGTTCATGGCGTCCTCCGAGTTGAGCCATTGTATGAACTCCTGCATCTGCTTCTCCACCTCCTGAGGGTGGGGCGGGACGTGGTGGCCCACCAGGACCTGGGTCGTGCGAAAGCGGCCAGCTTCCACGGGATCCACGTACCCCAGCACCCGCCGGTGGATCTCCAGCACGTCGCTGATGCTGACAGAGCCGATGCGGGAGAGCAGCGTCGTGTTGACGTACTTCATGGCCGCGTGCATGCCAATGACCTCATTCTGCTCCTCCAGGCTCTTCCCCGGCACGGCGTAGCGGGTCTCCAGGATGTGCCTGATCTCTGAGAGGGTGAGAGTGTTGCCTTCGATGGCCACTGTGTGGTAGATGTGGTGGTAGTACGTCTCCTCCATGACCCGGCGCAGTGCCGAGTTGCCCTTGGGGATGGACATGACCTTCTTCACTTTGCTGTCGATGATGCTGAAGTACCGCTGGTCAATCTCCTCCACCAGCGGCAGCGTGCGGTCGCGGTTGACCAGCGCCTTCTTGTGGTGGGGCGCGATGGTCAGTGCTCTGGTGTACAGGTAGTCAGCCTGGATGATGTCCCTGTCCTCTTCTGAGAAGATGCCGAACTCATTGAGCGCGTCCACGAAGCCCGGGTCCATGTTGAGGGCGTGCAGGAAGAGCTTGTGGGCTTTCTCCCGCTTGCCCTGGCGTTTCATTTCCAGGGCTTGGTTCAAAGCTGCTTTGGCTTCTAATTTGCTGGCTAGAAAAGAGTCAAAGAGGCGTGGGTCAGGGAGGGGCAGAGGACGTTCAGGGGCGGCGTCACCCCTGACAGCTGGTCTTCTCAATGGCCTCAGGGGGCTCTATCCAGCCATGTTGTACATGCCCTTCCCATACCTGTATGTGCAGACAGGTTTGTTTCCTACAGCCCAGTCGGGCCCTGTGCTGGTCGCTGTCCACTCAGCCCCAGAGCTGTTCTCTACCGTGGGGGCAGCAGCCGGGCTCCTTGGCCCCCTCCTCTGACCTGCCGTTGTTGAGTGGCTGTGTTCTCCTACAGCCGCAGCTCCTGTCAGGCGGGCCTCCCCTACCTCTGCTCCAGCTCGCAGCCGTTCTGGTGATTTCTTCTGGAGGTGCGGGTCCCTTCTTCCCCCTGCCTCCACCCCTGCCCCTTTAGGCCCTGGTTTTCAACTGAACCCTGCGGTACCTCTGGCCCTTTTCTGCTGGCCCTCCCACCCCCAGTGCCAGCCACACCTCCTAGACTTCTTTTAGTTCCTCAAGTGCCCAGGGCTCTCCTACCTTGTGGTCTCTGCCTGGAACACTCTCCCCTCAAACCTTTTTCCCTTGGGTCTCTCCTCAGGCATCCCCTCCTCCAGGGAGCCTTCCTGTGTGCTCCTACGGCTCCCTCTGCTTCCGCATCACCACATGTATCTCAGCCACCTATCACCTTGTCTGGCTAGGAGTTCAGGGCTGACCCTGTACCCCGCACACACGACATAGCTGGCCCTCTAAATACCTATGGGATTCACGAGCGTCGAGGCGAGATGGCCAGTCTTACCTGCAGAGGCCTTGGTCTTGACCACCAGCGGTGCTGCATCCCTGGAGGTGACACTGAGCTCCGTGGATGGTCTGGTGCACTTGGTGACAGTAGGCTGGGCCCTGTCCAACTTGCTCCTGAGCAGGTAGAAGCCTTTGAGCACAGCCAGACACTGCTCCTCCATGGCCCCCAGCGGCAGCAGCAGGGCCATCAGGGAGCCCAGCGCCATGCTCAGCAGTATCACCCACAGGAAGCGGCCCCAGACTGAGACCCATTTTGGTTCAGTCACCGCCATCACTGAAGCCATCGACATGAGTGTCATCTGGACCCAGGGGTGGGCCCCTTGCACATGTCCACAGTGGCTGGATCTGCAAGGAACCAGGAGTTGCAGGAGGTGAAGCAGGGGAACCGATACCTTGATGATACATTTCTGGCTTCAGGGGAGGCTTGGAGACCCCACGGTTCTTAATTCACTGTGACCAGGGGGTGGGGGTGAGGCAAGGATTAGGTGCTGCCTCCAGGGCGGTGTGACTGAAAAACAGTGCTGCCACCCAACTGCTATTAAACACCTACTGCGCGCCAGACCCTGTGGTAAACCCTAAGGACCTCACACGTACCCTCCTGCAATCTTCAACAGGAACTGAGGCTGCCCCATTCTCCAGCGGAGACCGGCTCAGGGAGGTGAAGGCCCTCGCCCAGAGTCACCCAGTGAGCAAGTGACGGCCTTGGGTTGTGGCTCAAAAGCCTCCCCACTTAAGCATAAATCTGTGGCCCCTGACCCCAACACTGGGTGCCCTAGACACATAACACACATGTCCAGAAAAGCTAAGGTAGTTCTGAGGCTCATTCTTTGGTAAGTACAACTGTTTGAAGGCCTGATATATTGCCACCTGGGCAGTCAGCTCTTCCTGCCCTCACCCTGGTATTAGCCACAATGCTGTTCCCCGCTCTGGCCTTCTTTTCCTGGCCTGTCCAGGAGGCATCCCGCCTAGAGTTAGGGCAGTCTGAGCATCTCAAGAGGAACTCAGGTTGTGGGCCAGAGGGGGTGACCACTTGCCTTCTGTGACAATGAGCAGGTGCTTGGGGCTGGCAGTGGGAGTGGAGGGATCGGGTCTGCAAACACCATCATACTAACAATAGGCATTTATTAAGCAACTACGGTGTGCGGGGCATTGAGCTGAGTGCTAGCAATGCTTTATCTCACTTACCCCTCACCACCTCACGGAGGAAAGCAGCCCCTAGGCTCCACTTTACAGACGAAAGAAACTGATACACAGAGAGCAAGTCAATTCCCAGACAACCTGCAGGGAATAAACAGCGGCATTCGGGAACGAATTCCCAGTACACCTGGGTCCAGAGTACCCAGGTCTTCACCTCTTTTATCATAACCAGGGCCCAAGCACCCGATCCCGTCTGCTCCTGGTACTGGACCAAGACCCAGAACTGACTGATAAGGTTTCTGGGGGAGCTTGGCCGGTTGATACAGAACATCTGAAAAGGCGCAGTACGAGCTCTAATGGGGAGGTACGGAAGAGGGTGTGGGTCACTGCTTCGTCCAGGTGGTCGGCGCGGGCTCCTCGGCGGGGCTGGAGTTCTCCCGAGGAGGACGAGCGTTCTGGGGGCACGAATCTCTCAGCCCTCACTAGCTAGGAAGGGGGAAACAGGCTCCAAGAGGCGAGGACACTGGACTAAGGTCATTCTGAGAAGCCGCCGCTTTCCGAACCCCACCCAGGGCTCGCTGCCCCGATGTACCCGGTTCACCCTCTCCTCACCTCGCGCCACTACCGGGCCCTGCTCTGCTGTCGCCTTCTCAGCACTCGCAGTCTCGGCTGGCCGCCGGCTCCGGAGACCTTTGCCGTCAGCCCGTGGCCCCGCCCTCGGCGACTCGCCATTGGCCGGCCCGCCATCCTCTTCGCAGCGTATTGGCTTCCTCACTTTGTCTGCGCCTCGCATTTCCGGGTTCCCGCTCTGCCTCCGCTTTCCCGGGAAAGACGCGCCGTGGGCCACTCCCATTGGCTGACTCCTGTATTGGTCTCGTGCCCGAAAGGACCAATAAGCAATAGGAGAGGCGGGGCGTGAGCGACAAGCGGGAGCCCCAGGTGCGGAAAACCCCCGCCTGTGCGGTTTTGGGGCGCTCTGGGTACGGCCTGAAAACTCGAAGTTCCAATTGTCTTTCCCTTAAGTTTCTTACTTCCGCGGGCCCCTCTCGCAGTCCCCTGGGCCTCAGTTTCCTTAGGTGTAAAGTGAGAATGCTGATGGTTTACAGCTGTCCACCCTGTTAGTCTGACTTAACACCCCGCGTTCTCAGCCTCCTCTCTGTCCTACCAGGGTTGCCCTCTTCCCCCGTCTCTCACCTTCTTTGCCTCCTGACTTTTAAATTTACATCCTCTTGAGAAGAGCCTGGCTGGTTCTCTTGCTTCCCGGTGTGGGCAAAGAATGTTGCCTGCCATTTCAGCAAGCAAAGAACTTTGCCTGCCATTCTGGTAGACAATGGATTATGGCCACCCTCAAGCCATCCTACGTTGCAGCTGCCCAGAGGGTTTGTGTGCCCTAGGTGGAACTCAAGATGGAAAAAAACAGGATACTGGTCCTAGATAATTAAGATGCATATCAAAGGAACAATTTCAATGAGGCTACATTCTTCCATCTTCTTATAGAAAGGCACTAAACTCATTCACTTGAGATGCTTTTTGTGATTAGCAGTAATCTTCTGAGTGTTCAACTGCACCTCCAACCCCCCCCCCCCCCAAAAACTCATATCCTGGCTCCTCCCTTACCTCTTTGGAACAGTTCTTCAGAGTTGAGAGGACTCTGCAGTCGTCAGTAATGTCCCTGAACAAGAACAATTCAACTTCCAGGTTGTATGTTTTGTTTTTCAGTCGACAGTGAGAAGTTTTCTCCTTGAAGCAGAGAACTGAAAGCTCCATTTTAATTCACATTTTTTTTTTTTTTTGCGGTACCTGGGGCTCTCACTGTTGTGGCCTCTCCCATTGTGAAGCACAGGCCCTGGAAGCGCAGGCTCAGCGGCCATGGCTCACGGGCCCAGCCGCTCCGCGGCATGTGGGATCTTCCCGGACCGGGGCACGAACCCATGTCCCCTGCATCGGCAGGTGAACTCTCAACCAGTGCGCCACCAGGGAAGCCCTAATTCACAAATATTGACATTAAACATCCAGGACATGCCCAGAAATGCTACAGTACATGAGTTAAAAAATATATATATTAGCAGTACAGATTCTGTAGTCAGGGAAACCTGGGCTTAAATTCAGACTTTGTCACCTTGGCTGTGTGTTCCCTTGAGCGGGTCACAGTTTCCCCATCTGTAAAATGGGGGCAAACAGCCTACCTCACTTTTGCCCTCAAGTTTGGGATTTGCAGAAGGCCTGACACCAAAGTAAGCTCCTCTTGTCCGATGCACAGCAAGCCAAAATGCTGAGAAACTGAGGTTTGCAACGAAGAGGACTGATTCGCAAGACAGCCAAGCAAGGAGACAGGAGAACAAATCTCTGATCTGCCTCTCCTTGAAGGCAAGGGGCTCCGGGTATTTAGGAGATGAAGAATAAAGCTGCAGGGCGGAGGCATGGGGAGCAGGGGGCAGGTGATTGGAAAAAGGTGTGATAATTATCCTGCACAGGCGTAAGCTACAGGCCTCTGCAGGTTCAAAAGGTCACCGACGGACCCCCCGCCCATGCCCAGGTGAATGGTGGATGGACCCCTGCCCACTCCCAGGTGAATGGTGGGTGGTCCTATCCAGTCTCAACCAGCTCAGCTGAAGGAGACACAGCTGACTCCCAAGTTCCTAGACAACAACTTGGTCAAATACCTTATTGTTTAGCTATGGGCTGCTTGGAGGACAGGCAAGTCTTAAACAACCTTAGTGGAAACAGGTGAAATGGATTTAACTCACAGTGGCAGTTCTCCCTATTTTTGATCATTCCTTAATCTTGAGGAATAAAGGCAAAAACCATTCTGGCTACTTCCTGCTGATAAGAGGTGCAGCTTGTGGAATCAAACTGCTTAGTACTCACTCGAAAATATTCTCTTATCCCTGGATTCAAGTTAACATTTTGATTTTAATAAACAATTACTACCTACACACCAGCTGTCAAGGCACTTATAAGCCCAAGATTGGTAACTGAAACCACAGACGAAGATGTACCCTGAGGGGGGCACACAGAATGTCAGACATCTGACATTCTTAGATATTAAATATGGAAGGGACATAGCCTGGGAAAATTAAGTACAGTTTCTACAATATCCTGACAAAGTAGAAACTTGCCAGGGGTAGACACCAGCTCTTTAAAAATCCAAGGACATGAGGAGAGGACCAAATTTCAGCTTAGTCAAGAAAAAACAGGGGACAGGAAATTCTATTAGCCTAATCTGATATGTTACATCTGAAGACACAGTGAAGATAGGGAAAGTCAAAAAATTAATGACAGGCACAGTCAAGGGATCCAATACAGAATGATCCAATACAGAAAAAAGGTTTTGGATCACAAGTCCAGCAGCTACAGAGATTAGCACTTCTCAAACTTTGGCAAAAGTAGGTAATCACTGAATTGTCCTTCCAAGCCTGGGAGGTTAGAAGCCAAGAGAAGGCATAACAAAAGAGAACAATCATTCTGGTAATCTAACAAGTTATTTAAATTGCCTTCTGAGAATTACCAAAGCCACCACTGCAGCAATCCCACTCACCTGGATTTCCTTCTTGCAGCTTCTTTCTGAAAAGAAACTTAAGATCCATGAAGGGGTTCACCTGCCCCCTTGGAGGAGTCACTGTTGGGGGTCTGAAACCAGCCAAGGTTTGGATGATCTTGGTTGCAGTTTTTCTTCTGCAGCAAAAGCATGGTTTCTGTTTCCCCATCATGTTCCTCATAAGGTCTGGTCCAGTGAGGATGGAGCTGGTTTTCCAGATGTTTATTCTTCCAAGATTCCAGTCTAGAGGTTCCTCGTCTCCCCTAAGAGCTTCCTAAAAGGGGTTCTGCTATGAGTCCAAAGTTGGGGATCCACATGGGGCAGAACCCGGCCACCCCCAGGAATCCCCGGGGGTCTAGAGTTTCCATTCTATCGGGGAGCAAGTCTCTCTATCCTTGTGAGAGTTCAGAACCCAAGTATTTAACAGAGGGCTGAGAACTCTGCCCTTTTTTTGGACCCATGATAGCCTCTTTCAATCAAGAAGTTCAAAGTCAACACTGTATTCTGGTCCTAGGCGTTTGTCTTACTGGAAATCAAAAGACCATCCACAATACTGGAGCAGGGATCCCTTCTTTAGTGGAAGCTCCCTCAAATCTTTTGCCAGGATTTCTCCCAACATAGTGGTGTGGGACTCGAGGGACATTGTTCCAGCTAATGATTAAGAACTCTCCAGACAGTAGGGGCTTCTTAGACAATGGGTAAATTTCCAGGATGTCCGGCCCCCTTCCGAGAAGGAGGGAGATAACAAAATGTAAAAAAGGTGTCTGTCAAAGAC